AGCATTTCTCCAACAATGAACGTTAATGACAGTGAAATAGAAAAAGTTTTAGAGAACTCAAAAGAGCAATCATAAAAATGTTCAACAAAAATCTAAAATATACAAAATTCTAAGGAAATTCACTGAGAGTGCAGCAAACAGCTGAATGGAATAAAGGGGATGGGATAGGATAAGAAAAGAAGCAAGAGGTAGGAATACTAAAAAAGTTAATTGTGAAGAATTCAATAGTCAATAAGGAAATCTCAGCAAAAAGGCTTATTAATAAAATGGATCAAGCAGAAGGCAGCAATAAGTTGATGACGTCAGGTTGGTGACAAGAAATAATTGAGAACTTTCAGGAAATGACAAATATAAAACAGTAACAAAATACAAACAAAGAATTATAGGAAATAAATAAAAGCCAAATTTATAAATTATAGTCATAGAGAAATAGGAAATATATACTAAAGGTATTAAAATTATGCAATAAATCAAAAATATTCTCAAATCAAGAGAAAGTATTGACTATCTAGATATTGGAAATATTTATAATGCCAAACATACAAGACCAGAACTGTTTCCTGGTGTTATATTTTAGTTAGAATATTGCATGCATAGAACAGAGAAGAGTATTAAAAGCCAATGGTAAGAAATGTCAAGTCATATACAAAGGAAAACCCATCAGAACAGCAGATATTTTATATAAAATCTCTAAGAGCAATCAGGGTATGATACTATGCACTTCAAGCTCTGACAAACAATGACTATCCGGCCAAATTGTTACCACCATTCATCAATTAAAGAGAATACAATCTTTCAATTTTGATTAATACTAGCTAAGTCGGTACTACAGAAGATATATAAAATAGTATTATACTGAAAAAAATATACATCCTTGAAGTCACAGGAACTAATAAACTGGATTAGAATAATAGATAAGCAAATGAAAATTAGGTACCAGTAAAATAATAGGAATTAACAAATACCATTCAATAATAACTGAATACTGCCTCAAGTCTCAATAAAAAAATGAAACCAGAAGAATGGAAAATCAGGAGCACATCATTTTCTGTCTGAAAATAATGAACCTGATTGTCAAAGACAAACATAATCTAAGAGTCAAAGGGAAAGAGAAGGCCTTGTAACCAAGCAAGCAGAACTGGGAACAGAACAGATACAGCTACATAGCTATCTGACAAAGGAGACTTCAAATCAACATTAGTATGAAGAGACCAACAATTAAACACTAAGAGAACAATGAATTATGAGGATACTGCAATTTTGACTATATACTGTAAAAAAAAATGCTACTGGATATAAAGGCACAGATTAACTGTAATATAAAAATAGTGTATGGCTTCATTAGTCCGGCAACAGAAGGACACACACACACACACACACACACACACACACACACTAGGATGCAAAGTAAATCTTAGCAAATAGAAGAAAATTGAAAACAATTGTGTGTTCTCTGTGATTAGAATGGCATAAAAGTAGAAACAAAATCCCTCTCAACAAATAATTTTGGAAAAGTTGAAGGTCCATGTAAACTGAAACTAGATTCTTGCCTTTCATGTGGCACAAAAATACATTAAAAATGGATCCAACACCTTATAGGCAGACCTGAAATTCTGAAACTGTTAGAAGACCACACTGAAGAAACACCTCAAAGTATAAGCAATGGTAAGGATTTATGAAAAGGATTCCAGTTGCTCGAGGTGAAGGAACATCTATATGTTGACATGAAATTACAAAGTTTGTGCACAGCAAATGAGAACAAAGCTCAATTCAACAGACAGATGCATAAAGAAACAACTTTTGGTAATGTTTATCAATATTTTAACCCTTTTACTTCTTAGTAAACAGTCAAGCAACTGAACAATAACTCCTTAATGCATTTAAAGCAAGAAGTGGAATAGTTTGATTCAGAATTTTTTTTTTTTTTTTGCCAAGAAATCTGTGTGGCCAGCTCCCATTCCAACTTGTATAAGGCTTACTTGTATTTCAAGAAAAAATGCTTTCAAAGTTGCTTGTACATGGAGATCACACAGTATCTGGCAATACTCCTGGTAACTTGAGCAGTTGGGTCTGAAAGTCAGCACACCATGGGGAAGGGACCACACTGACAGCTGTGACCTCAGCAAAGAGGTAAATCTAGAAAGAAATTGCCATGTTGACAAGAGAAGCAGCAGCATCAGTAAATTGCTGGAATTCTTTTGTAGAACACAAACATCTCTGCAATGTATTGTCTGGTAATGATTAAGGATGCCGCAGTTTGACTTTTCAGTGTGCCTTAGAAACTTAGAGAGAGAAAAAAGGAAAGTTGGGTATGAAAAAAGAAAACTGAATTGACATTAGTGTTTTAAAATATTTTCCTGTCTTTAAAAACTGATCATGTAAGAGGTTTGTACTTACCCTGACCTTTTAAAGATGACTGTGTCTTCTGAGGAATGGCTTTACTGGTCCTTAGGTTGGTGAAGCAATTAGTAGTTGGCCTATTCATTATCTTCTGGTTCTCATCCTTTGGTGTAGCCAGAAAGGCATACATAGAAAGGTGCCAGAACTCTTGGATCTTAGACACTGTTGGCTCTCAAAGGTTGAACGAATCGCTTCTTTACTCCCGGTCCTCATGGATTTTGATGCTAGGCTGCCGTCTAAGCATTGATTACAGTGCCTAGGCCTCATGTTTGCACAGGAAGCGCTTTACCAACTGAGATGTCAGGCCAGCCCCCTTTTTGTTTTCAATTAATTGAGATCAATTTTTGTATCTCTCTTAATATGAACAGTCAGAATAAAACTACCTTTCACAGCCATAACAGTAACTCAGTGTGTTCTTACAGATTATCTTTTGCTAAGTAAGTATTCTGATTCAAACTAATTACATACATTAATTACTTAGTTAATAAACATTGTTGATTCACACATTTTTCAGAGGCAAAAGACATTTTGAGGAAAACAAAATCCTGTATTTCTTGAAGGGTAAAAGTTGGAAACACACACCTCAATCTACAGTGGTTCCAATCTCAGGTTACTTAGGTCAGTAATTAATGACCTTTCTTTGGAAGGATCAGGAAGGCCTTTAGGTTTTGTGAGCCAGACTGTATCTATAACAACTAATTGTGTCTGCCTTTGTAGCATGAAAATAGTCATAGACAATATATAAATAAATAGGTTTGTCTGTGTTCTAATACAAATTTTCTTTGGGGAGAGAGGTGCTGGGGATTGAACCTAGGGTCTTGCAAGTGCCAGATACATGTTCTACCACTCACACAAATCTCCATGCTTGTAACAACTGAAGTTTTATTACAAAAATGAACTGGGTTGAGTGTAGTGGTGCATACCTGTAATCCAATACTTCTGGAGGTATAGACAGAAGAGTTGGGAATTTAAAGCCTGTCCTGGCTACGTAAAAAGACCAGAGTCTGGGAGAAATCTGTTTTATGTGTTTTAAATTCTGTGCTTTCATTTCTTGTTCCAAATATACGAATGAGAGTGAGAATAAAATGACTCCAGATAAGTCACATCACAGTTTTCTAGAGAAGATATCATTGGAGTTCTATTCAAGACTCCATTTGCACAAGCTGGTGTTGACAATGTACAGATACAGAATGATTCTTAGCAACTTTACACTGGAGAGTATAGGACAGAGAAAGTTCAGGTAGGTCCCTTTTGGAAAGTTCTAGAAAAGTAGAAGCCTAAACACAATGTGCAAAATGCCATGATGGTAGCTGCTGGATGTGACAAAATATTGATATTCTCTTTTTTCATGTTCACCAGGACTCACCATTCTCAGCTGCAATTCTAGTTGCCTAGACTAAATATTTGCTTTCTGTGTTTTTGCAGTTCGTTACATCTTAGGGATTGAGATTTAGCTAATTAGGTACAGGTAGGAGTGCTGGATATGAATTTAGGAGAGACAGTATGCTCTTCTTCCCCTGCTTCTACATATTGGTTGAGGTGCCCACACGGTGGCCACAGTCTTAGCAGCTACACTCGACTATGGGAAGAAAGCTACATGCTGAGACAGATAGTCATGGTGAAAGGAGCCTGTGTGCCAAAGCAAGAAAGAGTGCAGAGATCAGCTTCATCTTGGGAAAACCACTTTCCTGATCACTTCCCTGGACAGGAGCAGGCATGTCTCTGACTCTTTTGTCTTGGGACTCTTTTTCCTCCTATTGGATTGCCTTGACTAGCCTCAGTAAAAGGGCTTTTGCCTTGTCTTTTTTTTATTGAAAATTTTATTTATTTACATTTCAAAGATCCCCTTTCATGGTTTCCCTATCACAAGCCCCCTATCCTCCCCCTGCTTCTGTGAGGGTGTTCCCCCACCCACCCACTGACCCACTCCCACCTCACCTAGCATTCCCCTACACTGGGGGCATTAAACCTTCACAGGACCAAGGGCCTCTTCTCCCACTGATGCCAGATAAGGCCACCCTCTGCTACATATGCAGCTGGAGCTATGGGTCCCCTGACGTGTACTCCTTTGTTGGTGGTTTAGTCCCTGGGAGCTCTGGGGTGTCTGGTTAGTTGATATTGTTCTTTCTTGTATCTTCTTTTGACATGTTTGGTTGTTCTCTTGGAGGACTGCTCTTTCCTTAATGGAAACAGAGGGGAAGTGAATCTGAGGGAGAGGAGAGGTGGGGGTTGGCTGGGAGGAGTTGGGGGAGGGGAAACTGGTCAGGATGTAATGCAGGAGAAAAGAATCTATTTTCAATTTAAAAACAGCGAGAAAGAGATCAACGTCTCATTACTAAGGAATATTATTATCGGGGTTTTAGAGATGTCTCAACAATTAAGAGCACACACTGCTCTGGCAGAGAATCTGAGTTTGATTTCAAGCGCTATGCGAGGTAATTCGTGACAACCTGCAACTGAATCTGACAGTGACACCCTCACACTCATATGAATATACCTCCAAAGCATGGACACACAGATACAACTGAATTAATGACAAAGTTTTCCAAAGGAATAATACTATCATTTTATTACTTCTTGCTATAAAAACAGAATTTTCACCTGCCCCTAGAGGCATTGCAGGTGTGGCTGCTGTGTCACATGTGTGTCAGTAGGTGGCAGAAAGGAAAGAGGCAATGTCTACAGTCAGTGTTCTAACCTATGGACATCTGATTAGTAGCCTACAAGTCCCTTTAAAAAGCAGGCTTGAGACGGCAATCAGACTGGGGCCATGGGGCCCCGACAGGGAGCTGTCCTGAGATGACCACCACTTTAGAGCCAGGGAGGCTTACACAGGCTCCATGGATGGGGGCAAGCTGGAAACTAGAAGAACCCTGCCTTGGACTTCAGCCCTGGGCAGGGGGGAAGTGACCCAGAGAACTGGCCCTGCCCCTCACCTGCTACAGCACTTTCAAGAGTATGCCTTATACCTTGCCTGGGTAGCACAGTAGAGGTGACCTTGGTGGCAGGGTTGTTGGTGAGCCACTTCTGAGGGAGCGAGTATGGGAGAGCTTGCCCAGCTATTTGTCTGTCTTGATAGTCTGCTACTTGTTAGAATAGCAGAAGCCAGAAGCCTTGTACCAGACGAACAAATCGACACACTCCAGCGTCCACAATGATTCTTCCCCGGCTCTGTTGCCAGGGAGGTTGCAAGGGTGGAGGGCAGGTATGAGAGGAAGTGGAGCTTAGTGGAATTGGGGTGCTTGAGGTGACATTCACAAAGAACCAAGTAACAGTTAAAAAGAACCTAGAATTTTCACTGAAACATCTACTTTGGTTTTATATTTAATAATTTAGGCCTCAGAAATCCCATGCATGCATTATGATTTGCACAGCACTGGGAACTGGAGCTCGTGTCTAAGTCATTCATAGGGTATCGATGTTATCCCAGGACTGGAGAGGGAACAGCAAAGACAGGAGCGCTCGAGCTCATTCCCGAAGGCATTCAACTGCCTTAGCTTAATGTTTGATGTACAGAGTTAGGTTAATTCTGGATAGAATGCACACAATAAATCCTCTGAAGTTTATACCGTTATTAACCTCATTACAGGGTTCAGAAAGAGAAGGTCATCGCTATGTTTCCACTGGTTTTGTGAAATTTCCTGTTCTATTCTAATAAGTATCTTATTTGCTACGTAAATGCAGTCATGCTTTTCCTGAAGATGCCCCTTAAGTTTTCCTGCTTTAGTTCAGTAATTACATATAGTGGGAAGATGGTTAGCATCACAAGGGGCAGCATCCTGCTTTGCAGCCTCACTGACATCATCAACAGAAGGCTCTTGGTTCATTCTCTCAACAGCCAATGGACACTTACTGTGTTGGTACCTGGCCTATAGCAAAAATAAAAAAATTTAAAAAAGGAGGGTCAGACAATACAAGATGAGAGTTACTGTTTTTTCATGTTTTTCTTTTGTGGAGAAGAAGATGCTTGTCTTTCCTGTTTCTTGGCTTGAATACTTGATTTTGTCTTTTTCATCTTCTAATGAGACTATAGCTACATTTTTTTTTTCATGTAAAGAGAATCCTTAGTCGTTTACAAGATTTTCCATCGTCATTCATCTGTATTTCTGATTTTCCATCTTTCCTTTAACAAGGTATCTTTATTATTTATCTATTTGTGTGTTTTTTGAAAGTTTTCATGTGGGTGGGCTTCTGTTTTAGTTATTTGGTTTTGTTACTTAATCTACTGCAGTTTTTCTTCAACCATAGCAATCTCTTGAAAACCCTCTATCCATTCTTCCCCATAACCATGAATGAGATTGTGGAAGGTCCTTCTTGGTCCCACTGTCACAGAAGCGTTGGAGCATTGTCACAGCTGTCTATCACCAGGGATCTAAGACACAATCCCTCCTCACTTTCTCTGCAATCTTGGCGCACTCTGTATTTTGTTTGCTAGTTTATTCTCATTTTACATGGTATTAGAGTTTACCACACATGCAAGCTGGCACTGAATTTAAATTTCCACTTCAACTTCTAAAGCACAGGGATGACAAATGTAAGTCACCAGGGCTTAAGTGACAGCACTACTAGTCAATCAAACAATACATTTAACAGATCACTTATCTGTGTTCTATATCTAAGATGATCTCTGGGGGCAAGAAAAATAAATGAAGCTTACGTCTTACAGAAGATGTACCAACATCTATGGAGTTGACAGATGATGGAAGCAGTATTAGAAACAGTGCAGGTCACAGGCCAGTAACCTGGAGGCTTGTCCAGTGGAGGAGTGACTGACAGGAAGTTAGTACAACAGAAGAAAGTGAGAACAGAGTATAAGAATGATGAAAGTATTTGGAGCTGTAGAAGGATGATATTTTTAATTATAAAAGATAACTCTGAGGTGGCCCTGTAATACAGTAGATAGGGACTGGACTTCTAAATGATAATTCATATGCAAATAATGGAATATGCATGACTCAAATACTTGAGTTTACAATAGAAAATTTGCAAGTTGCATATGAGTCTTTTCATTTTAGCCAAGCCAAAGAGAAATAGTCTTGTTCATACAATAGTAATTTCCCATGCTAACTTAGTTTATGTATAAATTAATATCAGTAAAGCAAAGAAACACATAACCAAATATACAAGAGCTTTTCCAGGAAGTTGGAATGTTTTAGAAAGTGCCAGCATATTTAGATTGGTAATTTCTGGCTCAGAAAATATTTGATTAATGCAAGGAGGGGATTAAGGAAATGAATACACTTTCTGTAATGAATCAGATGAGATTAACCATAATAGTTATAAAGAGAAATTATGAAATAGTTTGTATGTCTGTTTATTTTCAATAGTCATGCCATATTAATAAGTGGTAAGCAATAGATCTTCTGAAGTGTCTATCTTGTTTCAGTTGACAGGATCTGGATAATGTGTGTGTGTGTGTATAAGAAAGTCCCTAAAACACTGCTCACATTCACGGGGGGCTGGGGTTGGGCATTAAGGAGAAATGTACTGAATGCCAGCACTTTCCATGCATTTCTAAGAGCTTCACTGCACTGAACCTCACCCGTGGAATGTGGATTTGAAGTAATATTGTTGTCTTCAATAGATTTCACAGATTTGTTGTTGTTGTTTTAATGAGGCCAAGAGGTTCTAAAAATGATAGAGTTTAAGTATATTTTTTTTCACATGATATTTCATCTTGGAACTGAAGTTTCACACTAGCATGAACTTTGGTGACATGTTAAGACTATACATTTGGAACTTAGGATAAAAGTGGTATGGCCTGTGACAATAATAGTGACTTACATTCTTTAAAATTTTTATGTCTCAGTGCAGAACATACTAGTATTATCAAGTCATTGCATTTTATCAACATTAACACATACACACACACATAGACACACACATACACATACACAGATGCAAAGACACACAGACACACACACGGACCTCCCCGGAGACACAGACCTCCCCAACATATACACACACATCCTTATGCACATGTGCATGCACACACACACACATACACACACACACACACACACACATACACACACACACACACACACACACACACACGCTATCCTCTAGAATTTTCTCTGTCATGCACCAGGCAAACAGGATTGTGATTACATCATTGTATGATCACAATATGAGTTATTATTGTCCATCTGCTTAGAGAAGTGTAATCTTTATGGATGGCAGTAACAGGAAGCAACTAATGGGGATTTGCTATATAATCCAGAGCCAGTTTGAATCTGGAATTTGAGCTCCTTAGCTAAACTGTCTTTCTGCTTCTCAGTGTTCATATTGTAAATGCTATTAAACTAATTGTGTGAAAATAGTGATATTGAAAGGAATAATTACTAATTCTATATAGCATCAAAAACTATCTTAAAAATCCAGAAATCATATTGTCTATGACATAGCACTGCCTTGAGTCTGGTCCAGACACACATGACAGAGTTCATTCCAGGTGGGAGAAGCAAGACACTGGTGTGGGACCCATAGCTACAGACAAGGTTTTGCCAAGCACTTACTTTTGTTGGGAGTAGTCTACCAAGAATGCCAAGCTATTTTAGATAGTTAATCCAATGAATAGAGGCAGGCATGCATATCTTAAACGCATGTAACTCTAAATGCATTAAAAGAGAAAGGATTAACCCTATATGTTCTTAGCTATGCATTCTGGTTTATTTTTTCCTTTGTCGGGGCATTCCAGAAGACAGTATCTCTTCTCTCCAGTGTGTGGCACTCTGCCTCCAGCCAAGCTCTCTGATCCACAGCCTTCAGAAACAAATCTCAGGGCTCCACTATTACTAAAACGGAACCTTTATTAATGATGTCTTAAGGTGCCAAACCTTTGAGCCCTTTAGTTCTATAGCTTTTATGTTACCAACACTAGTTCCACATGGGAGGCACTTACACACCTCCAAGTACAGCTGTCAGCTACAGATGCAGCCTTAGGCCCCGAAAAGCACAACATTGTTGTGATGACCCCAATGAAACACTCAGAAGATTTACCTCAAGGGCACTGCTTTCTTGTTAATTGCAGGTAATTGTTCAGCCCTATCTAGACAACACATATTCTCTCAATAAAGCAGATATTTCACTCCCATGGATTCCTAATCCAAACATATTACACAAAATGGCTATGGTAGAGACTTCAAGGTGCACCTAAAGTTTCCTCTGAAATTAAAACAGGCAGATAACTGCCATTATCTGCTGCCATGCCCAAGTCACAGGAACCCCAAAGACCACCAAGGAGCCAATTCTGATGCAAACACATAGCATCTTTATTATGAGCTCACAAGCAAGGTCTCTAACAATTCCCATTGCTGCAGGTCAGAGTAAGAGTCCCCAGTCTGGGGGTGCAGGGTATTTATTGTAGTTACAGCAAGCTTGGGGAATTTCTATACAGGTCAGCAAGTTAATATTTTAACAACTGCATTTCTGGCTTAATCTGCAGGAACCAAACATGGGGCAAAATCACTTGACAAACAGGATGGCTAAATTATCTATTCCCGGCAGGATGTCTTAAGTTATCTCTATGTACCTTGACCCTGCTATTGGGATGTTTGCGGACTTTGTGGTTTTCTTCCTGGAATTGGAGTTTAGCTCCTGGTCTCACACAAAAAGGAGTTTCCTCAAAAACAGAGTTGGTAGACTTTATATTTGTAAGCCTATCTTCCATTTTCCCACACGAGTAACCCACTAAGGTCTGACCACTCTATTTTCCAGCCCCAAGTT